TAGCACCCCTAGAACCAGCACCCCTGGAGCGATAACCCTCTCCGGCACCGGTGCCACCCCCAGAACTGCCGGGACAAGCCACGACAGTACCCCCAGGACTAGCATCCCAAGAACCAGCACCCCCAAAACGAGAACCCTCTCCAGCACCGGTGCCACCCCCAGGACCGCCGGGACAAGCCACGACAGTACCCCCAGGACCAGCACCCTCCTCAACGCCCGCACCCCCAGAGCTCGCGGACCAGTGTGGTGGCTGCGATGGTGGCGATGGCGGCTGCTGCTGCGGCGGCGACGGCGGCGGCTACGGTGGCGGCGAAGGAGGAGACACCGGGGTGAAGACAGGCGGCAAAATCGGAGCCGCAGGCCCCAAGAGTCAGCGGACTCCTCTACCGGGACAACCGACGGGAGGGGAGTGAGACTCTATACGGAGGGAATGGATGGATTCTTCTTCGAACCGTTACGAGTCAGGAACATCCTCTGCAGCTGCCGCCACGAGTGCCTACCGCCGCCGCCACTGCAATAGACAAATACATCGACACCCAATCCTGATGGATATTCCCCCTAACAGTGGAGATGGACTTGGATATAATTCCAGCATGTTTTCAAGACCCGGCCTGGCACTACATCTACGATTTCCAGCTAGTGGGATGGAGATACCACTATGCGCTGAACCTATGTGGTTATACCACATGCCCCCAAGAGCTCAGATAAATGTGACTCTTATGAGGATGGGAGGACTACGAGGATATTTGAGTCCTCATAGCATAATGATTTCAATAGAGTTATAAAACCTGCGTCACCAACCAATCCATCACTAGCATCACTTGCACGGAAGCTGATAGGTGTGATCCGGAGCGCCAAGAAGACTATGAATAGAGGAATCCGCGTCACTCCAACACCACCCGTACAAGCAGAACTTGAGCAGATTCAACATTGAAGCCGAGTAGCTGAAATCACATGAACGTTAATGAATCCGTGACGCCAAATCAATGGAACGAGAATACTCGAGCTGCCGTGAACGTCATCAACTAACCCATTGAAAATAGAAGAGGATTCAAATGGGTTGAGCACAAAAATCCCCATATTTCCTCGGCCATGACCATGGATTTGTGCTTTATTGACGAGCATCGTGGCGTTATCCTACTATAATCATTCGAAACCAATTCTTGACTTCTACGTCAACCTTGAACACTTGGTGGTTTCTTGACCACATGGAGCAGTATCATCACTATAGTGCAGCTGAATTCTACCGACCGCAACTCAGGCATGGGCTAATCACCATCTGCTATGCTACTCTGCAAACTGAGTTGGAGCGTCACATGTCCCAAACTTCATCGTCGGATCTCTCTTACCTACACTCGTACAAGCTCACGAGTGTGTGGAATGAAGTACAGAGGAGCCGCTTTTCAAGCACAGCTTTGTTGGCTTGATTTTCTCTATCTACTTTGAGCCTCACAACCCTCAGTGCTTGCTGAAAAATAGGGTGCTTTAGTGTCTACCTAGTTTTGAGGGGGGGAAATGTGAGGGGATGAGGCTTGACGAATCCTTGATCACAACCATTTATTATTTGCTATTTATTGTGTGTTATTTTGTGTGTTTTTTATTTTCTCAGAAATCCCTACACTTTTCCCTACACATTGATATACTTCACATATATCAATTGTGTTACGGAGTGTTTCGGCCTTTCCTTGCATGACACACTTTCTATTGTGTGGAGTGTTCTGTCACCGTCACCGTATCTCTAGAATCCCTACCGTGCTTGTAGATGGTGTTCCTACGGATAGTTCCACTCATTTCTATACTCTCGTAGAAGGTCCTAGTTACCCTTCCCTAGATTTCTTGCAAGTATAAATAGCATTGGCTCTTTGCTTGTATTCATTCAATTCTTGATTAGTTATTCTTCAAGCTTCCGCTAAATCTTGGACCTGTGACAGTTGGTGTAGGTCACATTCTGGACCAAGGAGTCACCACCATTTAACCTGGCCACAAAAAACACTCAGCATGTACGGACACAGCCACGGGCACCCGCCTAGCCATTTTTGAGCGTGACCCAGTATCTGGTCTCTTCACGCTGCGCACAAAGTCCCCTCCCATTGCTGCGTCCACTGAGGTAGCCGTGTCATACTCCCTCGCCCACCCGACCCTTCTGTGGCACCACCGCTTAGGTCACCCTGCGCTCCCGCGTCTCCGTCACACGTCGCAGCACGGTCTAGACACTGGTCTTTATGCATCACTCCTAGCCCTGCCTGTGTCGATAGCGCCCCTGTGCACCTCCTACGTCGAGGTTCGGCAGCACGCTGCTCCTCACTCCTCATCATTTCCTCCTATCATAGCACTGCTGCAAACTCAGCACATGGATATCTGGGGCCCTGCCCCGATCCATGGTCTTAGCATGGAGTGCTTCCTCCTAGTCGTTGTTGATGTCTACACACCCTTTACCACGGTGTTCCCGCTGGAATGGAAGGCCAACATGCTCGACGCTCTCATCCCGTGGCTACTCGCCACCCGCACCCAGGGCCGCCTGCAAATGCTCCGTATGCACTCCGACCGTGGTGGCGAGTTTGCCTTCGGCTGTCTTAGAGTGTTTTGCCGTGCGGAGGGCATCACCAAGACATACACATTGCCGGAATCCCCGCAGCAAAATGGGGTCGCTGAGCAACGCATCGGCCTGGTCATGGAGGTAGCACCCCATTTTCTATGGCCATTCGCAGTGCGTTACACAGCTCATCAGCTTAACCCGTGGCCGCGCTCCCTGCGCCCACAGGTTTCGCCGACCCTCCATAGGACTGGTCCCCTGGTGACACCTCTACGTTCCACGAATAGGGCAGCCTTGCTTACATCTGCGCCACTGAGGCGGACAAGCTCTCAGCCCACATTTTTCCTTTTGATTACCTTGGGATTCCGTTTGACGGCCCTGTCTGGCTGCTCTACCACCCGATACACCACCACTTCTACCATTCGCGTAACGTTACCTTCGACGAGACAGTTCCCTACTACACCCGCTTCCCTCAACATGGCTCTCGTGTCCCTCCTCCTCCTTTCTTCCTTGCCCCTACCACGCCTGCTGCACCCCTCCCACCCCACACGGCACTGTCTAATGCCTCTCACACCTCCCCGTTCCCCTCGGTTGGGCCCGTATAGGAGTTTGCTGACTCAGGGGCCCCGTCATTAGGGGTGTGCCTGCCGCCCTAGCGACACCTTCCCCTTAAGCCTCGGTGCTTCGGGCACCTCATCAGCCTCTCCCCTCATTGCAACAGTCTCAGCAGCCGCAGCTGCAGCAGCAGCAGCTGCTTCAACAGTGGGGGGCAGTGGGCTCTGGGGGTGCTGGTTCTGGGGGTGCCGACTCTGGGGGTGTTGGTTCTGCGGGTGGTGCATCAAGGGGTGCTTGTCCTGGGGGTGCTGTCTCGAAGAGTACAGGTGGTAATCAAGGTGGGGTTAGAGGTCCTAGAGTGGACAGGGAGCTGCAACAGCAGTAGCAGCCATAGTCTGCCCTTTATCTCCTTGGCGTTTCCTCCGGTTCCCCTGACCGACTGCCCGTACCTCCTACTGTGCCTCCCCTCCCGCTTGACCCTGTCTACGGTCTGCTGTACCCTTCCTCGGACTCCTCTCCGACTCATTTCCCCCCTCGCTCTCCTCCGTCCCCTGTCCTATCTCTCATTCCCCCTCGTCCCCAATCCCCCGTCCTTCCCCACTGGGTCCGTCGTCCCCCTGGTGGTCGTCCTGTCTCTCCTCGTGCTAGTATACACCCTATGGCCCTTCATTCTTGTGCTCCTCCAGACCCCGTTGTTTCGTTACCTCCCCAGTCGTCGCTCCTGCCGTTGATGTGCAAGTGTATCTCAGGGAAGCAGTTCGGGTTCCTGCCAGGGATAAGGCTGGCTGATGCAGTCACAATTGTAGCAGTCGTCATTGACGTGGCGAGGAATGGTGACAGGGGCTGGTACCTACTGTTGGTGGATTTTGAGAAGGCTCACGATTCGACTTACCGGAACTTTCTTTTTGGGGTGATGTCGAGGCTGGGTTTCCCGGACCGCTTCATGGAGTGGGTGAAGGGACTGCATCATGGGTTGACCGCGCGGCTGGTAGTCAATGACTGGATGGGGAGGAAGATAGAGGCTAGAATGGGTGTACGACAGGGTTGTCCACTTTCCCTTTACCTGTTGCTCTGTGCGGTGGAGCCGCTCTGCAGGGAAGCGAAGATAAAGAAGATAGGGTTGAGTAGGAGAGGAGGTCATAAGCTAGGCTATATGGGGTATATAGATGATACGACGCTCATTATTAATGGGAGGCAGCAGCTGGGGAAAGTGAAACCGTTGCTGAAGGACTTCGGCCAGCAGTCGGGCCTGCGGACGAATACCAGCAAATCGGCAATTCTACCACTAGGAAAGAATGGGCGAGCGAGGACTCCATCAGGTGTAGGTTTCAAGTGGGTGAAGCAGGATGAGGCGAAAAGGGTGCTAGGTGTTTGGATCTCACCAAGTGGAAAGGCAGAGGTAACATGGGAAAAGGCGTTCCTTCACGCCAAGGCGGAGCTGGGGAAGTGGCAGTCGAAGTTCCTCACCACCTCGGTGCGGGTGACAGTCCTGAATGGGTGCATCATGCCGATCCTGCTCTTCCAAGCGCAATTGTATCAGCCACCTGAGAAGAAATGGAACAATATGGCAAAGCTGGCCCAGAACTACATGTCGGGGAATAAGGCAGACGAGGAGAAGCATTTTCCCGATGTGGAGCAGGCAACTAATATGCACCCCTCGGCAACAGGGGGGTCTGGGGGTGGTTGATCCGAAAGGAAGGATGGACGGTTTGGTGTTAAGAATGGTAGGGGCAGCGCTTCTGCAGAGCTGTCCCATCAGGCAGCAGTTGGCGGGGTCGACTGTCACAGGATCGAATGACTCGAGGAAAGATTGCACTATCGGTCAGTACAAGGCGTTTTTATACTTCCAAAGTATATCAGGTAACCAGGTTTATCTTATCCTAAGGGAATAGACCCTTCTAGAACATAGAATCACCCGGCGTATAGCCACGCGAGGCTACTGGCTTTAAGGGATTACGGCAGGATTACGCTAGATAGAGCGCACCAGTACATCCCAAGCCTGGTCGGTGATATAATAATAATAGCAGGATAAACCAAAGGCTAATGGAAAAGGAAGAATAGGAAACCAAATGAGATGGGATAAAAAGAGAAATGAAATAGGAAGGAAATAAGAAAGGCCAAGTGGTGTAACGGGGTCATACTCTCACACTTCCCCCCCTCAAAGCTGGGTGGTAGAAGTAACACCCTGCTTGACAAGGTAGTCATGCAGAGGACGACGGGCGTTACCCATGTTGGACTCAGGGACCCAGCTGTCCTCAGAAGGATCATAACCCTTCCAACGGATGAGAAGCTCCACGGTGCCATTCCGACGACGGCGGTGTGCGAGCACGGACTCGACCTCGTACTCGGGTTCATTCTGGACGAGGACGGGCGGTGGCGGCGGCGGTTGGTGTCCGACGAAGATCGTGTTTGGGTCCCGATAGGGCTTCAGAAGTTGGACATTGAAGGCGTTGTGAATCTTCCAGGTGGCTAGCAGGCGTAAGCGGAAGGTAACAGGAGTGACCTGCGCTTCAACGAGAAAAGGCCCGCAGAAGCAAGGTCGAAGTTTAGATGGGAGGTGGCTGGTGTCCAGGTTGCGGGTGTCAAGAAGCACCTGGTCTCCCACCGTGATGGTGTGGTCGTTGCGATGGCGATCGGCCTGTCGCTTCTGTTGCTGCTGAATGTCGAGGAGGCGCTTGTGGGTCCGATCCCAAAGCTGATGCATGGTTGTGATGAAATCATGCGTAGGTTGGACTGTAGCGGATGTTGTCGGTTTCTGTGGTGTGAGTGGGTGGCGTCCGTAGCAGAGGAAGAACGGCGTCTGTCCAGTAGCGGCATGTGTAGCGTTGTTGTAAGCAAACTCTAGAACGGGCAGGTGCAAGTCCCATTTGGAGATCTCGTCCTTGAGGCGCTCGGTCTGTCCGTCTGTCTGCGGATGGTAAGCGGATGACATGGCGAGTTTGGTCCCGAGTAGAGACATGAGTTCCTTCCAGAACTTGCTGGTGAACTTGGGGTCTCGGTCGGAGATAAGTGTGGTTGGAATGCCATGCTGTGAGATGATGTAACGAATGAATAGTTGCGCTGTCTCCTCGGTGCGTGCTGTCGTGTGTGTCGGAATGAAGTGGCCCATTTTGGAGAACTTGTCGATGACGACAAGGATGGCGTCATGACCACTGGAGGTAGGTGGTAACCCGGTGATGAAGTCCAGGCTAACCACTTGCCATGGTTGTTCCGGGACAGGAAGAGGCTGCAGTAGTCCCGCCTTCTTCTGCTTGCTGCTCTTCATCCGCTGACATGTATCACATGGGGTGACAAACTTCTGAACATCTTCTGCGATGTGGGGCCAGTACTAGTGTTTTGCAATACCGGTCAGCGTCTTGTTGCTACCGAAGTGTCTGGCATAGAGGACGTCGTGGTATTCTTTGAGTAGTAACTGGCGCAAAGGAGGGTAATTGGGTACCCAGATTTTCGTTGATCCTTTCCGGTACGCGATGTCACTGTCCCACTGTAGCAGATGTCTTTTCTCTGCCAAGGGAATTTCGGGGTCGGTGGCGTACCCGTGTATGAAGAGCCCCTTGAGTAGTGGATTCATCCTTTCGACCTGAATAGCGGCAACGTGTGCAGGCCGGCTGAGAGCGTCTGCTTTGTTTTTGTGGCCGGGCTTGTACACGATGTCGTAGTGGAAGTGTGTCTCGAGGAAGTCGATCCACCGGACCTGCCGCCTGGAAAGGTTGGGTTGTGTCTTCAAGTATTTCAGGCTGCAGTGGTCGGTGTAGACGGTTGTTCTTCGTCCTTCGAGATAACATCTCCACGCTTTGAAGGCGATGACGATGGCAAGGGCCTCTTTGTCGTGCATCGGGTAGTTGAGTTCTGCCCCGTGTAGTTTCTTACTCAGGTAAGCGATTGGTTGCAGTCCATTCCCTTGGTCTTGCATCAAGACTGCTCGCACTGCCTGGTCGCTGGCGTCAGCTTCGATGACGTAGTCGCGTTCGGGATCTGACAAGATGAGTACTGGTGCGGACGTAAGTGCTTGCTTCAGCTGCTCCACGGCTTCCTGGTGCTTTGGCTCCCATTTGTAGGGTGTGTTCTTTTTCAGCAGATTTGTGAGTGGTGCTGCGATTTTCGCATACTGTGGCACGAACCTGTTGTAGTAATCAGCGAAGCCTAGGAACTGCGGCAACTCCTTCACGTTCTCGGGTGTCTTCGATTTTCTCAACTCAAGAAAATCGAAGCCGTAGCTGGTCAAGCAGGTCATCGATTCGCGGTATTGGATATTTATTCTTGATGGTCTGCTTGTTAAGAGCTCGGTAGTCGATGCACATGCGCAGGCTTCCGTCCGGTTTCGGTGTGAAGAGTACTGGGGCACCGTATGGTGAAGTGGATGGTCGGATGAGTCCTTTGGCTACGAGATACTCGATTTGTTTTTTCATGTCAGCCAGCTCCGTAGGGCTGAGCCGATATGGTGCTCGGAAGGTCGGCTTCGAACCCGGTTCCTCCACGATCTCGTGTTGATGCGTTCGGTATGGCGGTAGCTCGTTCCGAAGATCGTCAGGAAGAACATCTTGGAACTCCTTAAGTAATTCCTTGATCTTCCCTGCAGGTTCCGAGGTTTTTTCCCTATCGTTCTCCGCCTCTGTTGCTATCGCCAGGAACCCAGTGTCGGTTTGCTTCACGTCCTTCTCGAATCGTGCGAGTGTCTCCACTGGGATATCTCCTGTATCGTCCCAGTTGGGTAGCTGTACTCTCCGTCCATTGTTGTAGATACTTGCGGTGTGATTCACCCAGTTGATATCGGGGTTGAATCTTTTTAGGAAGTCTCGCCCGAAGATCAAGTCGAGCCCTTTGATGTTGGTGATGGGGAGTGCAGGTCTCCAGTGCAGTGGTCCGATTTGTAGGTGTAACACTGCTTCGCCATGTACTGGTAACTTGCTTCCGTCCGCCATCGTTGCAGAGAACCCTGAAGGCTTGTACTCTTCCCGAAGTCAGTCGATTACTGCCTTGTCGCAGACGGTGTGTGATGCTCCGCTGTCCACGAGTGCTTGGAGGCGTCGTCATTTGCAGATGACCTCGAGCACGAGGGGCAGGCGTTGCTCGGAGTACCCAAAGATAGTTTCATTGATTGGGTCATAGAGTACATCCCAATATTCCGTACACACCTTTGTGTTGCTATCTACTCCTGAGCTGGCAGCTGGCCGAGGCTACTTGGAGAACGGCTCTTCTCCAGGGCCCGGAGTTTCCTTGATGACTGTGCACCTCGTTGATGCCGAAGAACTGGATGCATCCGGAGGAGGAGTTCGGGGTTTGTGCAGCTTCTTATAGACCTCCCTGCTTCCTCTTGAGCTGCTTCAGCTCCACCGACGTCTTCCCTGGGGAACGGGTAGTCGTTGTGGGCTGGTGTCGGGAGAGGACGTTGACTCCGTGGAAAGGTCGGCTTCTTTCCACACTCCTTATTTTTTTCCCCAAGTTGTCCGGTACCGGTATACTCTCCATAGCTGTCTGCTTCTTTTGGAGTCCTTCCCGAATTTTCTCCAAGGCTCAAGCCCCTCGAAAATCATAGGTTTTCATTAAAGCATCTTTATAAGATAACTTTAACGAATCCTTATAATTTCTTGGGTCTTCAAGGAGTTTCCCCGTCTCGGCAGAGTCTTTTTTCGTGGAGTCGTATTTTTCCTCGGCGATTTTCCCTGGCGAAGACTGGCCGTGGGGTGGAGATTTTCCCCCATCATTTCCTCTTTCTTGCGTCGAATCAGCTTCGTCGAAGTTGATTTTCCCGCAATCCCGCGACCGCTTCCGGATCTTTTTATTTTCGCCAGCTAGATCCGCAATCACTGGCGACTCCCGTTTTTTGGCTTCTGATTGGCCGAAGGAATTCCGCCACTGTTGCGTGCCCGATACTCTGCGCGTGCGGCTTTCATTTTGTTGCAGTCGAAGATTCGATGACCCGGCACCCCGCAAAAATCACACGTGTAGTTGGTGTTTTTCGGACGTGGCCGCCCCTCGAACCTGTCGACTTCCATCGGGTCGGCGAACGTGGGGTGAGCCGAGCGGTCGCCCTGTCGCGTACTGCCGACGTGCGTCCGTCGTGTCCCACCGTTGACCATGTCGAAGCGCTCCGCTGCCGAAACGACGTCACTGTAGTTTGCGTAGTTTGACGCTGCCACTTGTCGTTTGACTTCGGTCTTCAGCCCGGCGAGGTACGATTGTACCTTTTCCCCTTCGGTCAGATCGGAAATTCGGTTATAAAATTCCTCCATCTGCTGCGTGTACTGCGCTACACTCCCGAACTGTCGATGGCGATGAATTTTTTCCCGGGCAAGGAAATTGGAATTTATCGGCTCGAAGCGTTTCAGCAGGTCGGCACGGAACTGCTGCCACGTGGCTTCATCGTGGATGAAGGTACTGTTGCCGCCAATCCACTCGAGTGCAGGCCCTCGCATCAGTGTCGCCGCGAGTCGTACACGTTGTCCGTCCCAGACCGGCGAGCTCCATCTGACGGCTGCGAAGTAGATCTCCATCTCGGCGATCCATCTGCGGGCGTCGGAGTTTCGATCGCTCGGATCGAACGGCTCAGGTGGGCGCGGTTTCGGAGCCTCGAGAAACTGCTGCGACTGCTGCGTCGTCGCCGTTGTCGTTTCGTGCTGCGCTCCGGCGAGTCGAGTTACTCGCTCGAACTCGTTTCGCCACGCTTCGCGATCCGCCCGCATTTCCTCCTGAAGGGCTGCGATGCGCGCGAAGAGCTGCTGGGTAACCTCAGCGTTGTCGAAGGTTGCCATCCTGTTCAAAACACGCACAGAGGGGGTACTGTAATTCGAAAATCGCGGAGCTGGTGCTTACTAGAATCGGCGTCGAATTGGTCACCCCCGGCGGTTTTTCGAGGCAGGTTTTCCCGCTGCTGCTGCTTTGTTGAGCGCGGCCGAGTGAGAAAAGCTCTGATTACCAAGTGTCACAGGATCGAATGACTCGAGGAAAGGTTGCACTATCGATCAGTACAAGGCGCTTTTATACTTCCAAAGTACATCAGGTAACCAGGTTTATCTTATCCTAAGGGAATAGACCCTTCTAGAACATAGAATCACCCTGCGTATAGCCACGCGAGGCTATTGGCTTTAAGGGATTACGGCAGGATTACGCTAGATAGAGCGCACCAGTACATCCCAAGCCTGGTCGGTGATATAATTATAATAGCAGGATAAACCAAAGGCTAATGGAAAAGGAAGAATAGGAAACCAAATGAGATGGGATAAAAAGAGAAATGAAATAGGAAGGAAATAAGAAAGGCCAAGTGGTGTAACGGGGTCATACTCTCGCATCGACTACGGACCTCCCGTTGGGTTGAGCCTCGCTATACGCGCACCCGTCTCTGCTCAAGGAATGGGGAGGAAAGAGTGAGAGGTGGAAACAGATGGCTGGAGTTTGCATACAGTCAAGCGCAGTGGAGATAGCAGACACGCTCTCACGGTGGGAAGTGGAGCTGGAACAGGTCACTTTCAACAAAGAACATACTCTTAAGAGGGAAGGCACATTTTGGAAGGCAGAAAGGAATAAAGAAGTTATGGGGGGTAACGATTGCGGATTTTATCAGCAAAGGGGAGGGTGGAACGAGAATGCTAAAGGTGAAGACGGTACTAGAACGTGAGCTGAAAGGTAGAGAAGCGGCGGTCCTGACACTGAAGGCATTTGAGGCAGCTCCTCAAGAGTGGAGAGCAAAGGCCCTTCGGCCACTAGCGGTGGAGGAAGTGATGGAGGCCACCAAGTCTCTTCGGACGAAGGGTTATCCTGAGACAATCTTGTGGTACAAGGAGATAGAGAAGGTGGTAGAGGGGAAACTTTCTTGCAACAAGATTGAGGTGGACACGTGACATCGTATCTCAAGGAGGAAGGTATCGTGGACGAGTGTTCTACAAGTTTCAAGGTTAACACAGTGTGATCGCTCGTCGGCCCGCGCTCGCTAGTCGCCCCCTAGCTCGCTGGCCCCAGCTCGCCTGCCCCAGTTCGAGCTGACCCCAGTTCGCGCCGGCCCCAGCTCCTACCACCGGGCCCAGCTCCTACCACCCCTGCGCACCACCGCCGCGTCGCCGGACTCTGCTTGCCGAGCCGCGCCGTCCCAGCTCGCCGTGCCGCGGTGCCGCTGTGTTGCCGTGCTGCTGTGTCGTCGTGCCGCCGTAGTGCTGTGTCACCGTGCCGCTGTGTCGCCGTGCCGCTGTGGTGCTGTAGCCGTGATGATGGCAGCCGCTGTGCTCCGCCTTGATGTGGAGGGTCGGGCGGTTGATTTTGAGGCGTGGCTTGTCAACCTTCGCCGTCAGCTGATGGGTCAGCGCCAGGACGGCTATTCCCTGGCCGTCCATGTCGACGGTAAGCTTCCCTGCCCCGACGCGCCTGGTGCCTCCCCTGATGCCCCCACGTCTGCTGAGCGTGAGGCCTTTGCCGTGGCCGAGCTTGCACGCGCTGTCTGGGAGTCGCGCGACGCCGTAACACAGCTTGCTACCAATCATGCCTTCCTCCTGTCTGAGCGTCCCAGCTTTACGGCTGTAGCGAATGCGAAGGAGTACTTAGATGCGGTCATTGCGCGCTATTCCACTCCCTCCCCTGCTGGCCATCTGATCCTCCCCATGCTATTCCCCGGTCTTGCGTCCTTCCCCACTGTCGCTGATCTTGCCATTCATTTACGCGCCCTTGAGACTAGCTACCACGCTGCTAGCACTGAGGCTCGCTGCATTCCCTCCTCCCTTTTGCGCTCCCCTTTACCTCATTCCCACACGCCTTCCTGGCCGCCTCGCTACTGCCCCTGACCACTTCCTTAGTTAGCACCCACGTGACCCCACCCTTCATGCCTTTATCACCACCCTGTCTGCGCACTATCACTCAGTCTAGCGGTACTGCAATGGTCTCTATCTTCCAGGGTTGTGCTCCCTCCCAGAGCACTTACTCTGGCGTTTCTGCTGTTGTCGCTGAGACAACCCCTGCTGCTGAGACCGCCACCGCGGCAGCCTCAGCTCAGCCTCGTCAGGGTAAGGGCTGCCGCCCCAAGAGGGGGGGGGGGGGGGGGGGGGGGGGGGAGGGGTGGCGGAGGGAGGGGTGGTGGGGGTGGCGGTGGTGCGAGTGCCGGCGGTACCGATGAGGAGATCGGAGCTGATCCACCGTAGCAGCAGCAGCAGCAGCCACAGCAACAGCAGTCGCATTAGCAGCAGCAGTAGTCGCAGTAGCAGTAGCTGAGGGAAAGGGTGCAAGTATTGAAAAAACCAGCTTCACATTAAAACCTTCTCGGAGTTTCTAGAGTCGCCTGGAGATCTTCCTATATTTTTTACCAAGCTGGGTAAAACCGAACTCGGAGAAAACCAGGGCTGTACTGAAAATTTCATTAAAATTTCAGTCAAGTAAGGACAAATGCCCTGATATACCTAGCCCGCTGCAATTTCACACCCTGAAACTGGGCGACAGAAGAATTTCTGCTTCCACACCGACCATTTTTGAGTGCGTAGACAGTACCCCCTTGTTCCTACAACCTATGCTTGACAAAATCCACGCGGGCAAAAAAATTGAGCACTGCCTAATTGACGTCGGGTTTCCTGACTTGAGAAACACTAAATCGAGCAGTAAACGTTTCGTATAGAAACCCAAGTTCGAATTGTGAACGTTTCGTACTGGGTGTGATAATACCGCGGGCTAGGTGTAACATAAGCCCTGTTCGAGAGAGCCCTTCAAAATGGTCGATTTTGACAAGAAGCCACAGTCACTGTTTTCCTGCCAGGTTTGGCTGGATGCGAGGCTTGGAATCTTCCGAATGAACAGATCATAGATTAGCGAACACGGCAAAGACTGTACTGTACAGTTGACTTCATGGTTACCTGCCCTGATTTGAGATTTTAACGGTTGATAGGGCTCGGTTTACATGCACCCAGATTGACAAGGGTCGGATTTCGGGATGAACGGATACGAAGAAAGACTACCACTCCCTATACATCCCACCCCTCTACCCCTGAATTTTACGCAGTGCTTTAACATGTGTCCTGTAAAATACCACAGGCCTTGCTGCTTTATGGCTCACATTAGTGAGGGGATGTCCTTCGCGTTCCTTTCGTGCCTGAAACCCTACCTAACCGTTTCATGACGTTCGAATAACCTTTTGACTCGCAGAGCATCTCACCTAACCGCCATCGGACGTAGGCGTCTGAGATGACTAAGTAGAGAGCTCAAGAGTTGGCTATTTTTGGTACCGGGGTTTGATTGATGGCTTCGACACAGCTCCCGGGACTAAGGGCTTGTCCTAAGAGTACATCTGAATTCGGTTGAAATGGAATTGCGTTTGAAAAAAAATCAAATAACTCTGTAACATGGTTCCGTAGGCGGCAAAAAATCGAAGGCTTAGGAAACGCCCTAAATCTCTGGCCAAGTTTTCGACTCACCAAGTTTTTGTAGGTCTAGGCAAGCGTTGGTACTCTACAATTAACAGAATATTTGCCCTTTCTGACTTACAGGGTCTTCTGTTGCTGAATCTTGGAATGTGAAAGACCTGGTTTCTAGCCGCCCAAGTTGATTTAGGACTGTTTCTGGCGTTACCCTGCTCGTCAGGGAAGCTGTGGAGGGTACGCGTTTCTGGCATTGTAGTAACTGCCCCAACCACCCCACCACCCTTCCCACCCCCTCCCCACCCACCCCACCACCCCTACCACCATCCTCAACCAAGTTTCCGGGTGTCCGTCTCCCCTGATTCTTGATGGTATGGCCACATGGATTCCGACAGCTGGATGGAATTCCCCTTCAACTTGGGCTCGATTCGAAGTTTTTTTCCGGCGAATTTGGCCGAGCCGTTTCGTGAAAGTGTGGGAGAGGGGAGGGGAGAGAGAAGGGGGGGGTTTAGCCAAGTCGTCGATTGTGAAGGTTGGTCCCACCACCCTAGTATTGGTCGTGTGGCGCTTAGCTTTGCGCCAATCTCTTCAGTCCCACTGCTTCGTACGTGTAGAGAGGTTGTCTGATCTGGTCTATTCGTCCTCCGCGGGTACAGCAGTGGTGCTGCTCCAGCGGGATGATTTTCCCAGCGGGACACGTGCCGGATTTGCTGCTAAAATTGTCCGAGTTTGGAGCCTGCACGTTCGATCAGGGTGTCCAAAGTGCCCGACGACATCATTGGGAATACAGTTTTGTAACGTTCTTAGTGCGATTGAAGGGCAGTTTTGCGACCCTATACTTCACACCCAGTCGAGCTGAAGGTAAGGATCTTCCAAGCGAAGCCCAATATATCTAGATATGGGCCGGTGGATGAGATCATTTTCCTGCTGCTCCATCACTCGACACTCTCCATCTCGTAGCCGTTTGAACCCGAGAGCAGGGCCCTCCTCTATCCCCTTCCACCGAGCTCTTTCTACAGCAATATGATCGTTGGAAGTTGAATTTCCAATGAAGGAAGTTCTTGAAGGAATCACTTTCCCAGTTCCCAGGCCCCCGCCCTCTCCGCCAGGCAGCCCGAGTCGATCATAAGCAGACTACTTGGAGGTCCTAGTCCTTTTTTCTTAGTACTACTAGTAGTACTAGTCTGTGGTTCATGCTGTGGTTAAAGCGGTGGCTCATCTTGTGGCTGACCACCTGGATCAAGTCACTAGGAGAAGCAAATGAGGTCTATGTCAAGTTTAAGGCCCAGAAGGGAGAGGTCCACCGGCGCCACTAAGGAGAGGAGCAGGCGAGTGGCTGGAGCACGTTGGAAGCCGGAGGTAATCATGTACAACTTTAGCTAAAACTCTGAGGTGCATTATGGAATAAGTTGACATGGTTTGACTCTATTTAGCTTTGTGAGACTCTGAGCTTGAACGTGTTCTATTGTTGGGCGTGAGCAGGAAGACAAGATCTTATTGGCCCACGTGGCAAAGCATGGCACCCAAAATTGGTTACTTGTCAGATCCATGGGTCTGCTGCCCACACGGAATCACAAGGCGTGCTGTAACCGCTATATTCTGCTCAAGAGGTGATTCCTACTCGGAAGTACTTCCCTGCTATTTTATTGTGTGTCGGTTGCTGAAGCCGCTTTCTAGAACTGTCACCTGATCTGTCGTGGAGTTCAGTGGGTCATCATGCCATTGCTTCACACCTCCTCCCTTGTTCACTTTCCACACCTCTCAAGTATTGTAAGTGAAAACTCCAACATTTTTCTCACAGATGTCCAACAGCACGGAATGCATTCTTATTGCATTACATGCACCCGGGCTGCAGTGTTACCGCTATCGCACATCTCAGACGTGCATCATTTTCTCACAGGGCGGTTGGTTCGGCGGTTCTCCTCACAGTGCTATGACGCCTTGCCCCACATCGCCATGTTACCTGTCGGTCCTAATGCCTGCAGGAAGCTGTCAAAGCTGGGTCGGCCCACACCACACATGGACATGGCTGCAAAAGCGGGGATACCTTCTGTGCCTCCTGTGGTAACAGGGACTGCTGACGATGGCTCGCCACGAGACATGGCGATGGCTGAGAATGGGGGGATGGCGACCGTACAAACTATACTCACGAATGCAGCTGCTGTGCCAACGATGGCTGCTGTGCCAACGATGGTAGCGAATACTGGAATGGGGACGGCAACGACAATGCAGCCGATTGCAGAGGAACGAGATGGCTGTTCACTTTGCTGCTGTCATATGCAGCACACGCCGTGTCATCAGCAGCACACACCGTGTCATCAGCAGCACACACCACCAGATCAGCAGCAGCACAGACCGTGTCAGCATCAGCACACGTCAAGCCATCAACAAAACGACAGGGAAACTGACATGGCTACGAGAATCCCAATGGTGCTGGGGGTGCAGACCTCAACCGCAGCTGCAGAAACAGAGGGCTCGTGCAAGAGAGCTTCTGGCGAGCGACTTGCATCTGCTACAAGTGATCTCCAGATTGAAGCAGCACTGATAGTAATGAGCCAAGCCAGTGTGGAGGATGGAGCAGCAGAAGCAGCCAGCGATGCTATGATGGTCGGACTTACAAGCCCAGCTGCAGCCACGGCCTCACACTCCGTATGTTCGTCCGAGCATTCGCTCATTCCAGCATCGCAAATCAGCCGTTCAGCATCAAACGAAAGCTTTCAAACTCCACAGCTGCACCTACCAGGATCAGAGCATTGCATTTCTATATCGCCCTCTCAGCCCTCTCAACCACTTCTCCACGCCACATCAGAGTCATCGGCCTCACAACTGTTCGCTGCGCCTCTCCTTTCCCATCATCATCCTCTTCTTCCTCTTCCTCTCCCTCTTACTCGTCCCCCAACTCTCCATCTTCCTCCTACTCGCCCTCCCAATCCTCCTCTTCCTATCTCCACTCCTACTCTCCTGCCGACGCTCCCTCTTCCTCATGGGAAAATGGATAATGGAACCTCATTTCTGGTCAAAGCACCTACGCAGGAAATGAAGGGTGTTGAAACCGCATGCTTGGTCGACTCCCCTATGCAGGCCTTGGAGGCGATCGAAGCTTTCCTACCTGAGCCGAGAGACTTTCAGATGCCTCTGGAGGTGCCTCTGCAGGTGTCTCAGCAAGAGGACTCTTTGGGGGGAATCAAGGCCCGCTGCAGTTTGCCAGCTGAGGAGGATCAGAGGCAACTTGTCTGCCACGCAGCACAGGGAGCAGTCTCTGCTGACACCAGCCATAGACATCAGCCCCTACCTGTTGGAGGTGCTGCTGCTCATGCGCCTCCTCCTCCCTCTGCTGATGCCACTCGTTTTTCTACTGCTCCTTCTGCGTATGCGCCTTTCCCCACTGCTCCTTCCCCCACTGCTCCTTCCCCCGCTGTTCCTTCCCCTACTGCACCTTCCCTCGCTGCTCCTTCCCCCACTACTCCTCCCACGGCTACTCTTTCTCCAAATGCATTTCTACTCGCCTTTGCCGATTCGCTCTCTGCTGCTGCCATACATGCTGGTGCAGCTGGCTCGCTTGGAGCTGCCGTGACTCCGAGAGTCAGTTCTGATTGGCCAGCTGCTGGTGTTGCCGTCGCATCAACCGCTGCTGTTGACTTCGCGATTGCATCGATTCTTATTCAGGCAGAGCTGGTCAGAATCAGCAATGCCCGGATGCTGCTAGCTCCTGTAGTACCTCCAACTTCAGCAACAGCCGTTCAGGTTGCCTCAGCACCCTCTCGCTGCCACCCAGCAAACACAGTGCACTCCTCTGCCTCTCTCCCGGTCTCTCTTTTCGCCCCTCTTTCTATCACTTGTTCCACCCCGATTTCCACTCCTCCTGCCCCTCTTTCCACCCCACTTTCTGCTTCACAACCAACATTGCGGTCCAGAACACCCGTTCTTCGTATTCCACCTTTATCACTACCACCTGCTGCTCCCCCCTCTGCTGCTGCTCCTCCTGCTGCTGCCCCTCGTCAACCTCTTCCTCCTCCTCCACCCGCTGCTGCTGCTGCTGCTGCTGCTGCTGCTGCTGCTGCTACGTCTTCCACTACTGGTTCACGGTTTCTGGAGCCATCTAGCTCTGCTGCTGTTGCTTCATCAGATGGCCGTGCTGCTGATGGCGGTGCTGCTGATGGCGGTGCTGCTGATGGCGGTGCTGCTGATCGCCGTGCTGCTGATGACCGTGCTGCCAATGGCCGTGCTGCTGATGGCCGTGCTGCTGTTGCTGCAGCAGAGGTGCGGCTGAAGCCAGATGAGCTGTTTGAAGCGTGGTGCAACGGGTCCTTCTCCAGGGTGAGTTATGTTACATGGCATGGCATGGCACGTCATGGCATGACATGGAATAGGATGGCTGGCATGGCATTGCTTCTGGGCTTCCAATGCGGTTATCAGCCCAGAAGTGTGAAATGTGGTGCAGTAGGCCATTCTCCAGGGTGGGTTATGGCAGAGGGCATGGCATGGTACGGCGTGGTATGCCATTGTATGGTGTGCTATGGCGTGGCGAATACTCCATTGCTCTTCTCACCAGATGAGCTGTTTGTAGCGTGTCGTAATGGTCGTTCTCAAGGGGGTGAGTACATGGCATGGCATGGCATGGCATGTGTCGAGATGTTACGGCATTGCTTGGTATCCAGTAGTATGTATGGGATGATGCCGTGAGTGGTGATCCAGCTGTCGTGTGTTGCCACAAATCGCTATTCATTGGCTCATATTGCAGGATGTTGGTTGATTTTTCCACGGTAACATTCTTGCATGGCAGGTTCTCCACAGCATCTGACAAAAACTTTGCCCATTCACATGATTTCGCGTGATTTCTGAATCTCCACAGCAACGAAATGGTGATTTTTGAACGCGTTCATCTACACCTTGCATCAGACGCGCATTGGAAAACGCCCAGTTCAGCTCAGTCCGAGACGACTTGAGCGAGCGTGGTGCACTTGGGCAGTATCAAGGTAACCATCATCATGCAGGATGGCATGTACCCTGCCCACTTTCCTTCAAAGTTAGAGTGCAATAGAAGCTCGATCCGCTTGCCTATGGTACCAGTCTTTTCTGCAGCATGGCGATGCATAGATGATTAATAGATACCATGTGTTGAGCTGAGAATAGCCCAGGGATCTTTTCAGAAGTCCTTGTATCAGAGTGCTTGATAGCACAGCGGAAGTCTTGATGGAACCCTTGAATTGGTATGTGAGAGCAAGTGTTTGATTATAGCAAAAGGATACAAGGGTTGCCGTAAAAGCCCGGATATTCGACCCCCTAGTTATAGAAAACCCTGGGTCTTCTATCAGGCGCTTATCTTGTGGTAACCCTGTTTTTTGCCCTTGGGATCTAGGACCATTTGGAAGATTTCTAAACGGTATGTGATAAGACCCATGGGTCTTATATCCGGGCTAATACGGTATATAATAATACAAGAGAATACGAAGAGTCTGATTATGCACTTCGAGGGGTACATTCCCGCGACTCGGGTAACCACCAGTGCTGTCATACCGGGACGGCTAATTGTCCTTACTGTCGCGCTGACTTGACTCTTGTACTATGACCGTTGGGTTGCACGGTCAACGGTCTGCGACCGTTGCCCTTTCGTAACCTCTTCTAGGTAACCCATGTCAACCGTCGGAGGTACTGTAGCAGGGTTCGACTCGTTGGTCCTCGATGTTGTGGTCTTCGCATATTGTTACAGCACGCGAGACTCTTGAAATGCGCTTGAGTCCTTTTATATATTCCAACACCCTCCTTCATTTCTGGAGTGTCGACGTGGTCGAGGTTGCTGACGTGTTGCAGTCTGGTCAGCAGCATGCAGTACTCGAACTTCGACTTCATCAGCTTCTTGGTCAAGAAGTTGGCTGCCATTTCGGTGGTGGGGCATCAGGCCGATTGGAGATGTCCCTGCTCGATCTCGTCTTTCACGAATAAGTAACGAATCGAGATATGCTTCAACCTGTTCGCGAATCCATTTTTGTTGGCGATTTTGCTCGCCGATTGGTTGTCGCAGTAAAGGGAGAAGCTTGGTAATTTGGCAATCATCGCTTCTTCTAGCAGCTTGCGCAGGTAAAGTCCTTCCTTTGTGGCTGTGCAAAGGGGGATATATTCGGCTTCAGCAGATGAGAGGGCGTTTGGTTCTTGTTTTCTTGAGTGCCAGGAGATAGTGCCGATAGGTTCCACGCGATAGACGAAGTCGGTGCGAGAGCGCCTGCTGTCCTTGTCGCCGGCGTGATCAGCGTCGACGTAGCCGATAAGTTCCATCTTGGTCGTGGCATTCTTGTGGTAGGTGAAGCCGATCGTCGAGTTCCTGCAGATTCCCCCCTTTAGGTCAATTACGATGTGTAGCGAGTTGAATAGCAGCGTAGGAGAGATCAGGATGGCATGTGATGGCGGCCAATAGCTGACAACCCTGCTTCTGCTGATATTCATGGATTCTGGCCGTGGCGAGTAGTGAGGAGGACGGCGCGGGAGTTGACGGCGTGTAGAGGGGCATCGGAGAGAGATCGAACGTCGAGCGATGTTCTCGGCGTACTTGGAGGCCGAAAGGTGGATGGTGTCGGGGCCGTCGATGATGTTAACCCCCATGTACTGCATCACGGTAGGCGATACCATGATGGTGAGCTGTAGCTCTAGTTCGCATTCGAACCAGACGGTAATGAATGTGGTGCAGGCACTGCCTTCCTAGTATAGTGCTCAGCTGATGCGTTGCACAACAACGTGGCTGCATAAATCCCAGATGCGCCACATACATGCCAGCCCATTCATCGGCCTCTCTTGTGACGAGTTGGCCAATTGCACCAGGGGGAAACACCTTATCCTCTTTGCTACGTTTTTGCGTGATGGTCACATGGTCACGGAATATCTTGCTCTGCTGATGCTGGATCAATGCGATGGAGCCTCTTGCCCTCATTTAAGAGCACTTGTCCAAGATCGGAGTGGCTCCAGAGAAGATTTCGGGCATCAGCACAGATGGCACTGCTGTGATGATGGGGTTGGTGACACACATGCGAATGAAGATACCTCACCGGGTATCTTCCACTGCATAGCCCACATGTAAGCAACATTGTTCGTCCCTGAATACCCACTTCTACCTTTGCTAACTCAGATGCTTCACTACGTTTGCACAAATCTTTTCCCTCGTTAATAAAAAACCATGGTAATTCTAAAATGGTCGTTGGTCATTGACCACAAGTAATCTTCCAGCACTTAACACTACACCGAAATGGCAATAACAACGCATCACCTACAAAAAGGCATGGTTTATCATCATTTCTTCTTCAACTCCACCCTCACCAATTTATAAATTGAACTTTGAGCGTAATATTCACTGCACCATTAGAACTAAACAATTAGTAATAACAACAAGGGTGCAACCCAATGTTACAGCAAACACAGCTGACGCAAAGACGAATAAGCCCTATGCATATCGTTGGAGTATTAAGTTCTTCTCATAATGGATTATGTACGCCTTAACAGCAATATCTCCACGCAATGAATAGGACCTTGATAACCACCTGCATAATTACGAGGAGGCACACAAAAATATCACATGCAAAACAAAGAAAAAACCAACACTTGCTGACAGCAGTAAATTCGGAACCACTTTTCAAACAATGGCGTCGTTGGGAACCATATTCAGAACGTACGCCAAGGGACTGCGCGGAAGCAACGACGTAGGTGAAAAAGCATTCGATTTGGCCAACGTCAAAACGAAGAGAAAAGAAAAGAGGGGAGCGTTGTCAACATCTCACCGTTGCACCATGGTTTATTCCTACGATCATCAAGGACATGCGTAAATCAATGAACACTCTACGCTCAAAGACAGCCAACTTCTAGAACATGGTCTGAAAACTCGCAATGACATAACAACCTGGGAATGAAAACCTTGACAGGCCCCATGCGACAATACCTTAAATTCACGTGGTTCGACAAGCAGCATCTTCATAGGCGACACTTAGCGTTGCAAAACGTGTTTTCCTACGAAAACAAAACGGCAAATAAGAGAATGGATGAGTGCGCAGAACACGAAACGGGCATGGCATAAGCTAACCAGGGTGCGGAAACTGAGTAACACGTAGGGAAACAGTGACAAGGGACTGTTATTCTTGCTTTGCAAAAACTGAATAGCTGTACTAACTAAATGGCTGTACAAAGGCAATTGAACCCAGACACATCAATGGAGGAGCTAGATGTGGAAAAACAAAAAAGGACAGACGACGAGGACTTGGAGGGGAGTAAAGAGCGTGGGAGCTCAGCATGGTGGGGTGGGATTACGTGGGTGGAATCCTAGGGGGTGGTCCTTGTATTTTGTGTTCCACATATACTCGCAATCCAGAACGAATTTTGGGCTTCAAAACATCTCGCGACCTGCTTGGGCATCAATTTTGCATCGCTTTTGCAAAGGTTGTTTTAAGAAAGTGACAGTGGCATGAAACTTTTGAAAACGCGACCTAGAAAGATCTTCAAACAGTTACTTGGTTGGGAGGGGGATTCGCTACTCAGGGGGGCTGGACAGGATTGGTTGTTGGATGGTGGTTTGAGATGAGGTTATGCACAGCTGCTTGTCTGAGGTGGACAACACTTGGAGTGGAGGTCTGTTTTCGCTTCGACAGTTGGCGCGGAATGATACGTAAAGGCATGGTACTTTTTCAGATTTTGGAAATACTCGAACTTTAAGGACGAACAAAACTTTCACACGTTTCGTGAAGGTTCACAATCGTATTTCGTCTTCATTGCGAACACCATCTCAGTTCTTCCAAATACAAACGCAGATGTTCGTGAGTGCGGGTTTGGAAAAAAACAAAATTGTTACCTATTCGCGAAAGCATATTCACGAAAGATAATTCGCGACGCTGACGAGAATAGTAATCGGAACAAATCAAGTAAACCGAACAAAATGTACCACGCCCTAAGGCTCAGTAAAAGGTTGCCGTGCAAAACTGCATGGGGAGGAATCACGTGGCTTGGCATTGACAACTCACAGGTTTGGGTCGCGCGAGACCTCGTTCCCAATTCGCAACACTAGGTGTTACGGCTTTGACTAAGCTACTACGGTACGATATATTTGACTGCAAGCATATTTTCTTTTGATTTGTAATTGAGGAATATATCCTTTTTCAATAACAATAATTACATTACGTAGTATGACGTTACTCACTATTTGTATAAGTTCAATAACAACTTGATTAATTCTATGTTGTTTGATTACCATAATTCTGTATCACAAAAATGTGTGTGCAATTTACATTTTAGCCTAATAATAATAGCTTCATTTTGCAAGTCAAAGAATGTCACTGCACCATTTGTCAATTTCAGGATTCGAACCCCGGTCTTCACTGCACACTGAGTTATCTGGCCCTGTAAAGAAAATTGTGTCGAAAATGCGGAATTGAACCCCCGTCTCCAACCTACGTCCTATTCCAGAGGTGTCGTCGAGGTCAGAAGTACTTTTCGGAAATCAGCAGGTGAATTGTGGGACAGTTGGAATAAAATTTGTCCCGCGAATGTCCCGAAGGTGTCTTTCAGGCCGATCGTGGGTTAGTGGTCTGGGCAAGTCACGTGGGGGACATAAACTTTTTGTTGATGCATCGTGCAAGCGCGCGTGCTTCCCACCGCGTGGATTGTTTGTTTGCAAAATTTGGAGATTCGGGGCTTGAGAAACGGGGTTAATTCTACATGTTTCCGTCTTTTGATGCTTGAAATAACAGCCACATTTGGTACAGGGCATTCCAAAATAGCGCGGGTGCAATTTGATAAGAAGCCGATCTCATCATTGACGCTATATGAGTTTTGATTCTACATGATTTTACCATAACGAGATTTAGGGTGTGTGCTCAATTTTTTTGTGCAGGGCTGTTTCGTTGTTTTTAGCTAAATTTGACCATACATGACTTCCCATATATGCGACCGTTGTTGGTACTTCCCTACACCCCAAAACAGGTTTCGGGGTGTACCCGTGAGTCGAACGGTCAAACGGCATAGTGAGGATGAACACTCAAACAAAATGGAATTGCAAACCATCGCGCACACGCACGTGCTTCCCATCGCGTGGATTTTTTGTAAGCTAATTAGGATATTCAGGGATTGAGAAACGGGGATAACAACCACATTCGATACAGGGCGCTTCGAAATTGTGTGTACGCAATTTGATTAGAAGCCGATCTCGTCGTTGACACTGCGTGAGTTTTGATCCTACGTGATTTTACCATCACGAGATTTAGGGCGTAGCA